TTGTTGTGTTGTGAAGTGTTGTTGTGTTGTGAAGTGTTGTTGTGTTGTGGAGTGTTGTTGTGTTGTGAAGTGTTGTTGTGTTGTGGAGTGTTGTTGTGTTGTGGAGTGTTGTTGTGTTGGAGTGTTGTTGTGTTGTGGACTGTTGTTGTGTTGTGAAGTGTTGTTGTGTTGTGGAGTGTTGTTGTGTTGTGGAGTGTTGTTGTGTTGTGAAGTGTTGTTGTGTTGTGGAGTGTTGTTGTGTTGTGAAGTGTTGTTGTGTTGTGGAGTGTTGTTGTGTTGTGGAGTGTTGTTGTGTTGTGGAGTGTTGTTGTGTTGTGGAGTGTTGTTGTGTTGTGGAGTGTTGTTGTGTTGTGAAGTGTTGTTGTGTTGTGGAGTGTTGTTGTGTTGTGGAGTGTTGTTGTGTTGTGGAGTGTTGTTGTGTTGTGAAGTGTTGTTGTGTTGTTGTGTAGTGTTGTTGTGGAGTGTTGTTGTGTTGTGGAGTGTTGTTGTGTTGTGAAGTGTTGTTGTGTTTGAACCTTTAATATAAATACATTGTGTCCTGTTCTCCAGCTGCAGGACACTTTGCTGCAGAGAGACGAGGAGCTGATGCGACTTCAGGACGAGAACAAAACGCTCAGAGAGTTCCTCGGGTCGTCCTTCGTCAGGAACCTCCAGCAGAGAGCAAAGGTACGTTCAGCCTCATCTTCATCATCATCACTACTGCATTTCCATAAAGTCCTGGACAGGTGAAGAGATCAGGTACTTAACGCTATAGCTGCGTTAAGTACCTACGTTTTAGTGGGTTGTCGGGTAGGAACTATTTTCTTTCCACCGTATCACTACGCAGAAGGGAAGCATGGATCTAGCTGTTGGTAGGTGTAGTCTGGCAGAAATAGTTCCTACATTAAACTGCTCACAATAAGCTCTGTTGATTCATATTTCATTTAGATGTTATGGTGCACTGTCCCTTTAAGTGACGTTTTCACTGAGAGCGTGTTCTACATGTACTTAGTGTGTAAAATGCTCTATTTACTTAGTGATTTACAAAACATCTGAACGTCGTTGCGCCAACATGTGATCCTCAGAAAATAAATACATATTGTAGATCTTATTCTGAGCAATAACTGAAACTTCTTCAGTCATTATTTGTCTGACATCTGATTCTAAATTCTCCTGTTCCTCTGACAGAAGCTCCGCCCTGATGGTTGCAGGCAGCTGAAGAGAAACCCGCCCGATGACGGACTCTTCCAGACTTGCAGTCCTTCTCTTCATTTCCCTCCGCCTGTCAGCAAGAGGGTCTGCAGGAACCTGAGCAAAGAGTTCAGCTCCTCTTCCTCCTCATCTTCCTCCTCTTCCTCCTCAGAACCCAACCTGGACCTCTGGGTTCTCCGGACGCTGGGCCTGAAGGACCGGGACACCATCGACACGTCCAGCGAGTCCTCGTCTGGATTCAGCACTTCGTTTTATGACTCTTCCTCCTCCGAATACTCCCTGAACTCCTCCTTCAGCTTCTGCCCAACATCCACACCTCAAACAGGCTACACCAACGAAGAAGAAGAAGAAGTCAAGTCACCTCGGTGCAGCACAACTTCTCCACAACAAAACTCAAGAACTATCTTTCTATCTCCAACGTTACCGGAAAAACTGCCTTTCTCTCCAACTTCGGATCATATCTGCTGCCTCGCTGCTTCGACTAGAGTTCCCACTCATTCATCCAATCGTCCGGTGTACTGGTCTCCATCAGAGGACCCAGTTGAGTTCAGTCCTCCAGCACAGAGAGTCCCGTTCTCCCCCATCGAGACTTCTGGATCTCAGACGCCTCGCAGTGAGAAGGACTTGGCGTTCAGGATGTCAATCAGTCCGTCCAGCAGCGTGAAGACTCACAGCTTCCCTCAGGGACAGGCCTTCGTCAGGAGGGACACCGGGGGGGGGAGGTTCAACTTCACCTGGGTGCCGACGCAAGGACACTAGGAGGTTCAACTTCACCTGGGTGCCGACGCAAGGACACTAGGAGGTTCAACTTCACTTGGGTGCCGACGCAAGGACACTAGGAGGTTCAACTTCACTTGGGTGCCGACGCAAGGACACTAGGAGGTTCAACTTCACCTGGGTGCCGATGCAAGGACACTAGGGGTGAAGGAGAAGCCCCAGATGTTCGGATGTTAAAGGAAAACTTCCTAAAATCAACCGGTGTCCAAACAAAAAACAAGCTTCTGAAATGTGGCTGGGTCTGGCACATGGACATCTTGGACATGGTTGTTATGGGAACACAAGATCACATGACCTGGCCCATGACCCATCAGATTGTTCTGGGTGGGTCACTTAGGGACTTCATGAGATAAAATGAAGGCTAAAGCTGTAGAAGGAACTTTTCCAGAACATTTAATGTCTCTGTCACGGTGGGTTCTTGTGGGTCGCATTCCTCTCCGGTTAATGAAAAAGAACAAAAACGTAAAAGAAATAATTAATTGTGACGCGTTTTACAACAAAAACTCTATATCTGTTTACAGACTCTGCATCCAAGTCTGAGCTCTCCACCCCACCTTTTCTGCAGGACTTTCAGTCAACATGGGGTGAACTTTCAGGACTAATAAGTCAGAGTTGAACTCGTTGCAGGTTTGTAGGATGTTGTTCTTGACCCTAAGAGACTCTTCATACTGACTGTCTTTAAAAAGACCCTGATATGATCCTTGTTACTTGCCTCTGTTTGTTAAGACCTTATGGTCCTGACATCAAAAAGGATTGGGGGGTTTGGAATAAAACACTTGATAATCAGTTCTTCATGACTAACCACTTTCACATTTGAATATGAAGCTAGTTAACGTATAATGATTGATACAATCAAATGTAACACAACTGCCTAAAATGTTTTCTTTACACTGCCTGTGTGGGATTTGGTTCTCGACCCTAAAGTGGTTCTGATTTCACAGGAAACTGCAAACAGCCAAACAAAGGTCTCAAAGATCCTCAGAGCCTCTTCGTACTGACTGTTAGGGAATCATTTGCCTCGGTATTCAACCTTCGACACAGTTCATCATTTTCTCCTCTCACTGTCTCCTTCACCACGGCATAGGTCCACGGCCTTGGGTTCTGCTGCTATCTCTCTTTAGGAGGGGCAGCTGGGGTATTGCTGCTATCTCTCTTTAGGAGGGGCAGCTGGGGTTCTGCTGCTATCTCTCTTTAGGAGGGGCAGCTGGGGTATTGCTGCTATCTCTCTTGAGGAGGGGCAGCTTGGGTTCTGCTGCTATCTCTCTTTAGGAGGGGCAGCTGGGGTTCTGCTGCTATCTCTCTTGAGGAGGGGCAGCTGGGGTATTGCTGCTATCTCTCTTGAGGAGGGGCAGCTGGGGTATCTGCTGCTATCTCTCTTGAGGAGGGGCAGCTTGGGTTCTGCTGCTATCTCTCTTGAGGAGGGGCAGCTGGGGTATTGTTGTTGCAGTCTTTGACAGAGCACAAGCCTCCATGAGGTAGTTTCTGTTCAGGGACGAAGGTTCCCTGGAGCACATTCTTTCCTATGGACGAGAGCTCTAGTTAGATTCAGGGTCCATGTTTAGTCTCTCTGATGAAGAATGTTGATTATTACACTCCGAACTAGTTAAAACCTCGAGCTGCAGAAAGAGTTCTTCAGAATTGGTTTGGCAGCCGCTGACACACCACCTGTCTTGTCAATTCTCCGGCCGTAACTCCAAATAAACCCCTCAGTGTTTGCCATCAAAGCTCCAGCTCTCCTCGTGTCTCTCCGAGTGCTGTTTCCAATTGCTTCAGAAGTTTCCCCCA